GGTGGGCGAAGAGATGGATCTAATTCTTGTAGAGTGGTTGGTGAACTTTCTGGGTCAAATGAGTGCTACTTGCTGGAAAACAGTCCATGGGCTTTGTCCATAGGTGATCAAGTTCGGCAAGGGAAAGCATTCGTTTGGTTGCCACGTGATAGCCATGATGTTTCTGAGGACGCTGAGCTGCCAAAGCCATTCCTGGTGAAGCCCAGCAACCTTAAGGACTTAAAGGTAAGTTGCCCAGAAGCATCCCGCTTTTACGCCAGTGAAGTTCGAGAAAACGTCCCATTGTTCAAAGAAAGGGTGAGTATTCTGCATATGCCCGGGGAGGTTGATGAAAAGAATGATTTAGGTGATTCGTCAAAAGCCTTAGAGGAAGAGTCTGATGGGTATGAGCCAAGCTTAGCACCAGAAGGCGCAGCAGCACCGCCAGACGAAGAGGCTGTGGAGCATTCGTCGAATCATTTCATTTTACATCTTCCCAAGAGAGCGGATTGCCCCATTTGTCAAGAAGCAAAGCAAGATGCTGTTCCTGCTAGGCGTGTTAAAGGTGATCGGGTATTAACCGATAGCAAACCTAGTAAAAGCTTTGGGGATAGGATCCATGCAGACCACGTCATCGTTGCTAAACATCGGTTGGATGGTTCTAAGAAAGGGCTGAAAGGAGAAACGAAATGCCTGGTTTTGCTTGATGATTTCACTAAAATCGTAATGGCGTATCCAGCAGCTACCAAAAGCACAGAAGAGTGTGTCAAGGCACTCAAGCATTTTGGTGGTAAACGTCCATTGGTGGAATTTCATGCAGATAATACTCCTGAGTATGAGTCGACAGCAAGTCAACTAGGTCTCGTGTATGATGCAACCGTCCCGTACAGGAAAACCGCCATCATCAATCGAGCCATTCGCACTCTCGAGGATGTCACCCGGTGTTGTTTAGTACAAGTAGGCAACTTCAATGAATTATGGCCGTTGGCGATTCGTTATGCAGCTTTGGCCTCAACCATTAGCAATTGGGACAAACTCCATGACCATGAATTTCCAGGTCTTCACATTCCTTTTGGTGCGTTGATCAGTTACAAACCCAATGCCCCTAAATCCAAACTTGGTGCCAAAACATCAGCCGGTTTGTTCCTTGGTTGGAGAATTGAGGCAGGGATCCAATGGAAGCGCACATATTTGGTTTGTGATGTTCAGAATGTGAAATCATGGTTGGAAGGAAAATCTGGTCTTCAAGTTCTCACTTCAATGGTTGTTGTGCAAACTGGTGAAGATAAATTTCCCTTGCGTGAAGCCGTGCAAAAGAAGCTAGAATCCTTGGAGGATTTACCTGTACTGCGTTTGGAGGATGATGTTAGGGCATTGGAAGAAGAGGTGAGTCGCGAGGAAGTTGAACCAGAATTAGACGACATCTTTGCAGACGATCCTTTGGATGAACCAAAAGTCCATTCCAAACATGAAGCCATTACTTTCTCCAGACTAATGCAATATGGTTTCAGTCCAGGTTGTTCAGCTTGTGAAAAGGGAAAGGGAATCCATACATCCAGTTGCAGAGAAAGATTTGATGGGCTAATCAGGGGGGGTAAGTTTACACTTCCCAAGGGCATTGCAAAAGGTGTTGATTCTTGGAAGCTTGAAGGTGACCTGCTTACTCGATTCCACCATGTGAAACGCAAGAAGCTCTTTAATCCCTTATTGCCTGAAGATCTTCCAGTAAGTGCAAAAAGACTTGGAGCTAGAACCACCGAAGTTAAGTACTTTGAAAGCGGTGTCGAGGAAACAATCCATGATGAGCATTGGAGAGGTAACAACAAATCACTCAAGGAATTTTGGACAGGTCAGACAATCTTTCAGCTGCATCCCGAGGCATCGGACGTTCCTGCCGGAGCAGTCGAAGCAAAGGATGGTGAGCTGCAGGCTTCGCCGCGCCCCATCCAGTGTGGTAAGAAAGGGAAAAGACTTGCCCAAAAGTTGTTGCCAGCATATGGTGTTATGATAGAGTTTTGTTGTAGCCCACAATCTAATCTTGGAAAGGTTTCAGAGTCCGTAGGAGTAAAGCACATCCGTTTGACAGAAAGCAACGGAAAGGTTTCAGAGCTTGAAGTGCAATCTCAGCTATTGGAAGTGTTGGATTCGGATGCCATGAACGGTGTTGACCTTTGGGGATCACTACCATGCAACCCTTGGTCTAGATGGCAACACGTGAATTGCAAGAAGTTAGGTCCAGCATTCCGTAGGAAGCTAATGTTGAAAAGGTTGGAAAGCAAGAAACTCTTGAAATTTTTCTTCCAGTTGTCCGCAATAATCCTCAGGCGTGGTGGCAGGGTTCACTTCGAATGGCCAACAGGGTGTTCCGGCTGGCAGATTCCAGAGCTTCAGGATTTCTTCAACTCAAACAACTTTCAGCTTGCGCATTTCAATGGTTGCATGGTTGGAGGCGAATCATTTAAGCCATGGACAGTAGCATCAACAGATGACTGTTTAGTTCGCAGCCTGAGAACCAAAACATGTGACCATAGCCATAAACATGTGCACTTGTGCGGATCAAAGACACCAAAATCAGCATTCTATCCAATGCAAATGTGCGAAGGTATCATCTCATCATTGTTTCCCGAGTTGTATCACAAGTTCGTTCCTTGTATGAGTTGCGAGTCAATCACTGAAAATCCAGTGCATGTCCCAAAAGAAGTTGAGCTTGAGGGAATTCCCATTAGCGTTCATGAGTTGATTGATAGGAAGGTCTGGAAGGACGACCCTGCAGCGCTCAGTGAAGCTAAGAAGGAAGCTCAAGGTTTGATAGATGCGGGGACATGGGATTACAAGAATGTTGTCCAGAGGCACGAGCTCGAACACAGATCCAGGAAGTCAGGAACGAAGATTGCGATTGGGAAACTCATGACAATTATGAGTTGGAAGAATGCAGAATCAGAAAAAGACAAGAAACTAAAAGCTAGAATAGTTTTTCTTGGCAACAATGTGAGGGACGAGTTTGGTCTTGCAAGTGAATTTCAAGAAATCAAAATCATTCCCACTACAATTGCCGGGCTTAACATCAATTTAGCCTTCGGACTGAAGAGAGGAAACAAAACGACTCAGTCAGATGTTACCAAAGCTTATATCCAAAGTGATCTTCAAACAGAACATGACACGTACATCGAACTGCCAGATGAGTTGATTCCAGATCACCTCAAATGGATGCGCAGACCATGCACAAAGCTGCACAAATCGTTGTACGGGCACCCCGAGTCAGGGGGGCATTGGGGTTTGAAGTTCAAAAGCTTGATGACACAAATGAACGGTGTAGAGTCAGCATTGTTTCCATCCAACTTTATCATCAAAAAGTGGGGCCTGTTGGTCACATTGTACGTTGATGACATTGTTGTGTCAGGTCCGAGTGAAAATCATCAATTTTTCTGGTCAGAGTTGGAGAAGCATCTTCAATTTGAACCTCCGCAGGAAGTCACAAAGGTTCTAGGAAGAACACACTTGATTCAGGAAGGGGAAGTGCAGCTAGACATGCATGACTTTGCAGAAGTCGCCTGCAAAGTGTACGAACAGGAATGCAAAGAGTTCAAAGGGTTCAAGAAGGCCCCAACCCCGTATCTTGATGAAAGTACACTTCCTATTGATGATTGGGATAGCCAAGGTAGTCTTGCGAGTTCAGCCGCCAGGCTAATCATGAAAGCCTATTGGTTAGCTAGACTTAGCCGTCCAGATTTGCTACATGCATTGAATGAACTCAGCAAACGTATTACCAAGTGGAGCAGAAATGACGACAGAAGGTTGTTCAGGGTGTTTTGCTATCTAAATGGAACAAAGAACTATAGGATGAGGCTGAAACTTGATCCAGATGCAGAATGGGGTCTGTGGTTATTCACGGATGCTGACCATGCCTCAAAGGTAGACCACGGATATTCCACATCAGGGTCATTGCTCGCCATCGCTGGTGGAAGTTCATTCTTTCCTATAACATTTCAGTCCAAACGTCAAACAGCTTGCAGCCGTTCGACAACTGAAGCGGAAGCCATTGCATTGGCTAGTGCATTGTTCAGTGATGCAATCCCTGCGCAAGAGTTCATGTCGCAGTTGCTTGATTCACCAATTCCTTTGACATGCCATCAGGACAACACTGCCACTATACAGGTGATCAGAAACGGATACAGTGCTCGCCTAAGACATCTTGGTAAAACACACAAGATAAATGTTCAAGGGTTGTATGATGCTTTCAAAGAACCAGACATAAGCATTCAGCACTGTCCTACAGAACAACAGGCAGCAGACGTGTTCACTAAGAGCCTGGAAGTTCATAAATGGCAATCGGCCTTGGACATGATAGGAATTTTTGATCCAAGCAAAAGTTGAAATCGCAACAAATGTCAGAAATCGCAACAATTGCCAGAAATAGATCCGATCCTTGTTGAGCCGACCTTGATTAGTTCAGGTGTTGCTTGGCCATTTTGGCCGCTCCTTGGTAGGAACCAAAGCTGCAAGCAGAGGTGCCGTTCGTTGCCCTTGCAGTGTGCTGCTGGCTTTGCCGCGCCCTGTAAGTGTATCTTTCGTGCCTTTGTAAATTAGGTTGGAATATGAGATCAGTTCTCACAAATGAGAAAGTACTGTCACCCTTGTGCGACTGGAGAAGCGGCCAATGCACCCCGAGATACATGGCCAAACTCTGTGTACACAAGCCTTGCGTGCATAGTCCATATCATAATTTGTTTTCGCAGCAACCTAGCCTGACTTGCCTTTCCACGATGACCTGATCGTCACTTTCGATGGCCACGATGAGTGCTTGATCCAAACTTTCGATGGAGTGCCAAGTTTGTGTGGACACCACCCTTTCGAAGGAGGGGGGCACAGAAATAATCCAGCTCAAATGCAGGGTTATACATGTACAGTCATTCTCACGGTGGTCCCTACTACATTTTGGCTCAAGGAGAAAAGAAGCCCGCGGAGCTCCCGCTAGGTTGTTTCGTTTGGGTTTCTTTGCCACTTAGCCTTTGGACCTGTTTTCATTGGTTGTCTATGTCATGTTTCTCTTTATAGTCCGGGTATCCTGCAGATAAAGCTGTATTGAAGTCTTTGATCTCAGTGTACTCTTGAATGAAGTGCAACACGCCTTCAAGGGTCCGCTCGCCATCAAACTTTATAGGATTTGTCTTGTTCCCCTTCACAAAAAGCTTCATGTTTGGTACGTAGGTCTCTGGGAAATACTCGGGACTGGTCTCATTCTCATCTGTGTCCATCATTGCAACAATGATCGGATCACTCCCATTTGCAATGCCAGGTTTCTGCGTGATCTTCGCCAACTGTTTGATCAAGGGCTTGATTTGAACAGAGGGACCGCACCAATCAGCTGTGCAGTCCACAAAGACGGATTGATCGCTTTCAAGCACCAGTTTCTCGAACTCCTCTGCCACCAGGGTCACCAGGCCGGTCTTAGGTCGGGGTTTTGAGGTGGCGGTACACCTGAGCCAGGTTAGCTGGAAAAAATCGAACCAAACCTTCCAAATTCAGGCCTAGACATGAATTTGGACACCCAAGTTCCCTACTGGCGGTTTCCTTTCTTTTGACAGGGCCCACCTGACTTGGCTTTCTCAGCCTTGCATCTCCAGCATGTGGCTGCTGTGGATGAATTCCGGGTCTGCAGCCCTTGTCGCTCGCACTGGGAGCGTTGGCACAGCCATACTCCTCTTGGCTGATGAAGTTGCAAGATGTCTGACTTCGAAGGGAGATGGCCAAGAGCGATGCGAACCTCACGCAGTTGGCCACCCAAGTTGCTCCATTTCTTCTGCGCCTTGGAGCAAAGGCCTTTCATCCCAAAGAAGGACAAGCCGTGTTCCACGACCAAAGAAAAAGGTCCTCCCCTCCTCAGTCCCGGATACTCTGGCTCAATGTCCAACACGCGCTCCCCATCAAGCCATAGCACCATGGAGAATGGAAGGTCTGCAGAGATCGTGAGCAAATGCCAGGTGTCCTTCCGCACGGTCACCCCGCAGGTTTTGGCAGGCACCTGCACTGAGGCTACACCAGCATGCAGCCCAGCACGCTGCGCAAGAAGTTGTAGCTGCTGCAACTGATGCTGCTGGTTTGGCGCCAGAAAATGAGTCACTTCAGCTTCTGTATCTGACAGTGTCCGAATCTTTTGAGTTTCAATGCTTAGCTCCTTCAACTTTCTTCTCTCTTGGGCAACGATGGTCCAAAGAGATTGACCTCGAAGGCTGAAGGTCACCTTCGCGTGCTTCTCGCTGTCCTTCTCGTCCTCTAAAAGTTCCACACCCTCCACATCATCGTCAGCTTCTGTATGGCTATGGCCATGGGGCACGAAGCAGGAGGAAGGGGGCCAGCCCCATTCATGTCGCAACCAATGATTTTTCTCCTCAAGGCACAGAATCACATCTCCAATTGACACAAAGAAATTCTCCCGGTCTACGGGGTCGGACTCGATGTCTGGATGCAAATGAGTTGGTATGCCTTCTCCATGTCCGAATTCGTTCGTCGGTTTCTCTGCTCTCCAGAGTCTTCCATCCATCAAGCAAAGCCTTTTCAGGAGAGGGCAAACATCCGACAAAAGAAATGCAAAAGGCTTCTGGCCCCAATTCAACGAAATGGCTTTGTCTCCCCAAAGTCGAAGCTCTGGAAATCGTTCTCCTTCTCCTGCTTGGTCCGGCCAGCCATCCAACTTCTTTCCATTCTTATAGAGGCTGGCCTGACCCTTGTCGGCATCATAAACACACCCAAGAACATCTCCAGCAACGCATCCTGCGCTGGTGAGATCAAAGAGGACATTGCCTCTCTGAGCAAGCTCCTGCACTGGTTCCTGCGGAAGGTCTCCCTCTGTTTTGGAAGCCAACCAAGTTTTTTGGCATCAGAAAATGCCAAACCTTCTGTATGTGGGCGCCCCAGCTCCTGTACAGGAATCCATGCCACTGACTCTAGACTGTCATCGTTCTCTAAAGTGACTTCGAAGTACATCTTCCCTGCATCGCTTGCAAATTGACGGAAGCTCAAGGTCTCACGGGCGAACAAACATCTTGCTGCCAGTCCACCTCGCAGCCCGTTGCAGGAAGCTGCTAGGCAACCGGAATGCAGAATGATTCAGAATTCTTTTGGCCAACCAAGTACCTGCGACCTGGTCTCGAGTCTCAACAGTTCCCTGCATCTGTGTGCTAGACATCTGACCAACCAAAGACACGATGTTCGAGCTTCCACTGCAAGCTGAAGCAGTAAGGGTAACATCATGTTTTTGCAAAACGTCTGCAGCACTGATGCTACCAGACAGAGATCCGCCGCCAACGTCCAAGTGCAAAGCCTCGTCTTGCTGAGTGGCTACTGCCAATATATGACTTGCCTCTTCTTGTCCGTCAGTCCTCGTTTCGACAGTCCAGAGACCGCCCAAGAAAGTCTGTGAAGTTAAGGTAAAAGTGCTGAACTTGTCTTGTAGAACGTTGAAGGTCGAAACCTCTCCTTCGCAGCCACTGGCATCTCTCCAGCTGCCACTGAACTCAGCATAGGTTTCAAAGCCACCAGCTCCAACTTGAAAGCACCACCTCAACTTCAGCAGGCTGGAGGCCATCGCTAAAGTTTCCCTAAAATCTAGGAATCAAATGATTAGCGCGAGAGCTTCTTCAAGGAGCCGCCTTTAGGGCGGCAGGGGGAACATCCTGGAAGAAGCGTGAGCTATCCTGCGTCCTAGGTCGTAGCTACTTAAGCTACTAGCCACCTAGCTACTAGCTACTTACCTCTACCTACTACGTCCTCTACTCGGCCTACCCCCAAGGTCCCGCCTCAGCTTCAAATCGCCTTCGTTGGGTCCTCCGGAGCCTTCTTCCCACACACCTTCAAAGCGAGAACGGCTTTGCCCCATCACTCCTCCAGCCACCTTGCGGCTGCAAGCATCCGTTTGAAGCCATATCCTCAGTGATACCTCCTGCGCATCATCTCCAAGATGAAGGCCCAAGGTCTCAAAAGCTCCGACCAAATCAGATACATTGGAAATACCTTTCAGCTGTAGCAAATAGTCCTTGGACAACGTGTCCTTGACCTCTCCTTCCTCTGAAAGTCGAGCTTCCTGCAAACCATCTGGAGCTACTCTGCCATCGGGCCACACATAGAGCTCACCAGGCGGCAAGTTTCTGTAGAGATCTGTCTCAGGTTTTCCCCAGTGAAGAAGCATCAGCCTCTCCGTTGGCAGCCGTGGCAAGCAAAACCACAGTGTGAGATTGTAACGGTTCACATCGTGGAGCTCTGCATCTGATTCAGGCCCTTGAGGCTGTTGCAGAGGAATCTTTTGCAGCACCACTGCCGAGTTTTCCAGCGACCAAAACTTCAGGTGTTGACCTTTCAAGCGGGGATCATTGTCTTGCACGGCCTCAGGACACCCACCCACAAAGTTGGTGAACCTGGGAGGATTTGGATACTGGAAACTGAAAACTGCGCAAACACCTTCCTCCAACTTCGGATTCTCACCCATCTCCTTTTCCAGAACCTCTGCCCAAGCATCTTCCAGCCGTTTCTTGGCCTCCAACTCCATTTCTTCAATCGCCTCGCGCTCAGTTCACTGGCTGAAACTTCTTGCAAAAAGTGATTCTCTTCTTCGTGGATCTGCTGCAGCTGCGTTGCCAGACTTCCGCCATGTTCAAAGTTCAGGCTAGAACGTCTCCTCGAGGAACTTCTCCCAGCTAGTTGTCCTTCAGAAATATGCCCCAACTGGCCAAGGAAAAAGGCGAGCTCATCTTGCGAGATCGTTCCACTTCGATCGGAGTCTCGATGAACTGCTCCTTCTCTTCCGGTGAATTGCCAAGTTTGAACATCTTCATCAAGGCAGGTGCCAGCTCCCTCATGTCAACATCTCCCGACTGATCCAAATCGATAAGATGGAAAAGGCTTGAGATATCAGTGCGTAGGAAAAATGCTGCTTTCTGTCTAAACAACTCTCCTCGCAACCTTTTCACCAAGAAGTCCCACTGATGCTTCGATCGGAAAACCTCAGCCACGCTGAAGGCTCGCCAGTTATCTCCCAGTGCCCGCCGGCGGCAACCGCCCACTGCTACAAAGAAACGCTCCCTGGCAAGTGGCTTTTCCCAGCACAATGCCTTCAGCAGCAAATTAACTTGGTGTCCTTCAAAGGAAGTCTCACAATTGAGAAACCTTGCTATTTGCTCAGCACGCTGTGCTTGGAAGGGTTGCTTACCCTCCTCAAAGCCAGCAGCTTCATCAAAGGGATGGTTCCAATCTACCAAAGATCTCAATGCAAAGCTGGCATTCTTTGAGCTTGCAAAGACTGGACTGCCTTTGCTGCTCTTGCAATGACAAATGCGTCGCAAGGTCTCAGCTTCTGCCAAGCTCACCAAAACGAAGAAATGGTCTCCTTCTGTCTCCTGGGCCTGGGACAAGACGCCCCTCATTCCATCCCTGTCCAAAGCACCAGTAAGGCAGCAATCCTTCAGATCCAAATCAAAGGCAGCAGCCTTCACGAGCTGAACGTTCTCGGACAAGAGCGGTTGATCACCTGCTTCAAACATTGGCCAAAGCCTTTCGAGACAAGCTGCTATCCTCTCCTGATCTTCAGATGAGGCCTTTTCTGACACACATGCATGCGCAGCAAATGCCCCATGCCCAGAGATTGGACGAATCCATTCCAAAACCACTGCCACATTCTTTACTCTCCTGAAGCCCGACCAGGTCTTGTTGAAATAGTTTGTTGAGATCAAAACGTCAGTGGGCAGGTATGGCAACGAGGGGCACAGCTTGTTCACCTTGAACTCCGCTGCTCTGTAGAACTGTTTCGGGATTGACTGGATGGTAAGACTGACGGTCATAGGGAAAGTCGCAGCTGCCGAGATGGGCTTCATCACCTTGGACTTTGTGCCCTCCTTGCACTCTTCAAGGTTCACAACCTTACAGCAATTAGAAAAAGCTCACGGACAATGACTAAGACAACAAGGTTGGGTGACTGAACTGTTCACTCAAACACCAACCAATTGGCACCAACGCAAACTATGATTGCCAACAGTGTAGGCGCCAAGGAAACCTCAAGCCCAAAAGCGATTTGAAACATCGGCAAAGTCGCTAGATCTGGAGGCGCTAACAGCACACGAGGAGTCCCAAGTGCCATCTGGTACTTGACCTTGCGCTCCTGGTTGTCACCGTCACTAAGACCTTGAAACAACATCTGGAGTTCGTCACTGCTGAGGCTAGTTTCTAGAATTCGCTCGTGGAGCACTTTGGCCAAGGAGTCGTAAAGCCAAGGAACAGGTTCTTCATTGTCACGGCAAAAAGCATGTCCACAAATTGTTCGATCTCCATTTCTTGCTCCTGTTCTTGTTCTTGCTCCTTCTCCTGCTCCTGCTCTTGTTCTTTTTCCTGCTCCGCGCCTAAGGCTTGGCCAAAGGCTGTAGCCTCCACAAACTTGGACACCTGCGCCCGGATTCTGTCCAACATCTCCCTTCCGTCCAGCATCTCACTTCCCGTCGTCTCCTTGCGAACTTTGAAGAGCTTCTCGTCGTCTCCTTGGGATCCTTTGCATGCACGGTCTGGAACTGTCAGATAGCCGGCTTTTTGGGCAGAGGAAATTGCACCTTCCAACATCTCGACCATATTTCGGGCCCTTGGGAGCTCTTCCTTCACATCCATGATGACAGTATCTATGAAAGTCATCGCAGACTTCTGGATCTCTTCTTCTTCAACATCACGGAAGGAAATTGGTCCGTCGGAGCCTAACAACCTTCGAAATGCAGGCAAGCGCCACACATTCGCTGCGTCTTTCATCTGCAGGGATGCCCATTGGAGTTGATCTGCCAGGGCAGTGTTGATCATCAGCCAAGCACCCACTTGCGGGACACGTAAGGCTGGAGGTATCCCAATGTGGTTGCCATCTTCATTTGGATTGGGAGCCATAGCGTTCCGCCCGCCATGTGGGTCATACTTGCTATCCATCAGTTGGCGTATCTCGGGCACAATGACCAAGCGAATCTTCTGCCCTTTGCCAACGCCACGCATTCGGTAGGCACCCTGAGAATAATCCCGAAAGACCATGTCCTTTCCCAGGGTCAAAGCGGCGACTGCATCTGGTTTGTGTTGGATGTCCATGCCAGTCGTGTGCACCTGGTCGTAGAAAACGAAGCGGTGCTCAAGTGGAATCGAAGGGCTTTCATCAAGATCCACTACGGCTTGCGAAGATCGCGCCAGGATTTGCTTGCGCCCAGCTTCTGAGATGAAAACGCATCCCTCAAAGTGGCCAGGAAGGTGCTGCAGCAGGAACTCAGCAACTTCTTTGTTCGTCATACCAGTGACAAGCGCGCCAGTGTCAATCAAAGCATGGAGAGGGTGTTCATTGCTGGCAACACGTTGAAGCAAGGATTTTGCATTCCACGCTTTGTCCAAAATCTCGTCAACACTGACGATGCCACCTGACAGGTTCACTTATGGGGATTGTTCTAGCTAGCTCAAACATGTTTGAGTCATCTGCGAGAAGCTGAACGAGGCGGTGTTGGATGTGAATGGGGGAAATGAGCTGCAGAAAACGACATAAAGAACTGGAGAGAAAGGGCGTTTACTTGGTTCCGCAGTTCCTCAGTCGAATGAGACAACGTCGCACAAACAACCATGGTGGCAAGGGAAGACAAGGAGAACGGAGACCAAGAAGGACAAGCTGTTGGATGTCATGACAAAAATGTAAGCACAGCGCAGTTTTGACAATTCATTCGCGGGATACCGTACTCAGACGCACCCGGAGCCCAGTGCTTCTGGAAATGCGGCAAGTGAAGTCCAAGAATACCAGCACAAAGACAAACCACCTGCAAAGCAAGCACTGTTGCAATGGCAAGAAATATCTCTCTAAAGTCTAAAGTGCACAGTCCAAGGGATGCCACAGCGCATTGGGCAGACAAGGAACCCTCAATCACTTTACGCGGGTTCTCAGGCGTGTCCTTTTCTGGGTCCAAACACATGACACAGGTGTTATACTGGGCTTGTGGCCATCCCTGAAATTGTTTGCGCATCCAGGCTGCAATTTGCAGCCCTTCAAGAATAAAAGAAAACAATCATATTGTAGTTCCGTCCAGGATCGTAAACACATCTAGTCTTGTCGTTTCTTCATTCTACATGAATCTACTGTAACATACTCTAGCAAAATGCAGGCTCAGATCCGAATCCGCTTCGGAGACCACCGAAATCCTCGACGGTCCGCATGGTTGCGCCTTCAAATGAGAGGTTTTACATGTCAAGGGTGCTGAGTTTGCTATACTCATCAAGCCAACTCAATTCGTTTGCACTCACTACTCAAGAAAGGCACCCATGGTTCAATTTTCACTTACAGTGACACGTGAACCACGGTTAGAGGATTACAACAAACAAACAAACAAACAAACAAACAAACAAACAAACACACACACACAAACAAACAAACAAACAAACAAACAAAC